GGGGGGGGGGGGGGAGGGCAGCAGCAGCTACTCGGCAGCTTCGGACCGATTTCCTGCTTCCCTAGCATTAGCCCTTATTAGAGCTGTGCAAGAGCAGAGCAGGCTGTAGCTGCAGCATAGCTTTCCAACTGCTGCAGAAGTTGCAGGCGGAAAGGGTTCCAGTTTTTTATGTTGTCTGATGGGTCACGCCGCACACCAGATATTTAACTGAGGGGGACGGGAACAGATACTGCACCTAAGGCTTGGTCTTCTTAGCCAACAGGCAGAAAGGGTTTCCTGTTTTGAAGATTTTCTCTTTGCTTTTCTCTGTTTTTTGACTATTGTGGGGAGCAGCAGTCGGGGTCCTTGTGCTCCGGCAAGTGGAAGAAGTTATACCACCATAGACCACGCATTCCTTCCGTTTCAGGCCGAAGGGACCCCTCAATCAGCATCGTTGATTACTCCTTGAGGGGAGGATTGACTCTCAGGTACGTATGCCTGTGTCCTTGTGAAGTCCTTCGTCTACTTACATGAGCGTAGGCTGGCTGGCAGATGACCTTGAAGAACAAGAACCCCTCTGACTGCTAAGGGGGAAGGGGAGGAGAGGGGGGGATTGCGATTGCCCTGCCCCGACCTCCGTTTCTCAGGTGGCGGTTGCTCCCTCTCCTGGCTGTCTCTTGCGTTGGCTTATGTCAAACGGCTCTTTTTCAGACACAAACCCTTTTTTTTTTTTTTTTCAAATACAAACACTTTTCATAGCTGTGGAGCCCATCTTGAAGTGCAGGAAATGCTGCACGGCTTGACAACGGATGGGGAAATGGAAGATTTTGTTGCCCTGAAAATCCCCCCGATTATGAAATATGTGCCAGCTCGCGGCTGTAGATATCCTCGCTGGGTAAATGCTGCTACTACCGAGCAGGCCTGCAGCACACTTTTTTTCTTTCTGATGTTCTGTGAGTATGCTCAGTCCCAGACTGCTGTCTGCTTCCCATATTGCCATCTTCTCCTAGGTTGTTTTGCACTGCTGGGCAGCAAGCAGTGTGCAGCTAGCTAGGTGTTCACATGGCCAGGTCCCAAGACAGTTCTCATTACTTGTCTAGACATTGGGTGGCGCAGTCTAATGTCTAATGGCCCATAGGCTAATGGATTAGACAATGACCATGGGCTAATGGCCATAGACTGGACATAGACTATGNTAGACAATGACCATGGGCTAATGGCCATAGACTGGACATAGACTATGGCCATAGACTAATGGCCATAGTCGAATGCAGTAGACTATGGCTATAGACTACTAACCTATACTAATAGCCCAGGCCATGACTATAGGCCATAGAACGATGGCTTAGACTATGGCTATAGACTACTAACCTAGACTATAGGCCATAAACTAATGACAGAGACTATGGCCAGGGATGGATGTTGTAGACTCTGGCCATATACTACTAATGGCATAGACTGTGCCCACACAGTGATGGCCCAGATTATGGCCATAGGTTAATCACCTCAACTTTGGCCATGGAAGTTCAAGAGCTTGGCCATCCTGTTGATCTAGTACCTATCCAGCGCAGTCCGGGCATGGACAACGCGTACATGATCGTTGCATTGATGTGTGTATTACGATCCTGGCTCATTTCGAAGTACACATTCATCAGAAAGTACAATGCCGTCCAGTTGTAAAAAGAAATGAATGAACTTGAGAGGAGAGAGAGGGAAAGAAGAAGAAGAAGAAGAAGTAAGAAGAAGAAGAAGATGTACTCCAGCATAGACCAAAGATAATGCTCTTCTTCTTCGCCAACCAATCTCCTCCTCCTTGTCTCCTTCCCTCGTATTCAAACAAGAAATAACAATAATAATGTTGAATGGCTGAGCCAGAATCAATGTCGGAATCCCACGTCTACTGCAGGCACAACATGAGGTCCACCATAGCTGTGGCCACCCTTCCTCTTCCTCTTCATGTGGGCCGAGGCTATGGTGGAGTACTGAGGGCTCTACCCTCCTGTCCAAAGGACAACCCAAAGCAGCTATGCCGCTGCCTCCCTGTGCAAAGGACGAAGCAAAGCAGCTATGCCGCTGCTCATTAGCTATGCCTGTCTCTACCCCGAGCTTCCTTGGTGGGGCACTACCCCAACTGGGCCCTTCCAGATGCAGCGCCCATCAAGGTGATGAAGATGGTGGCCACCATACCCAGGTAGGTACCTCAGCACTCTCCTCCTTGGTCCTCTTCTCCCTCCTCCTCCTACCGGTAGAGATCCACCATAGCCAAGGTGGAAGCTCCCGGCTTCTTCCTCCCAGCAGCGCTGTAGTAGCCAGCGCTCCAGCAGCGTGTCGCCAAACTTGCACACTGAAGAATGAGGCAGGGCTCTTCCCTCGGCCTCTTGATGTAGCACAGCCTACTTGCCTCCTGGGAGGTGACTTCCAGGCCGCTCAGCTTCCCAAGCAACCGGTACCTCCTCCCTTTCGGAGGGAAACATCATTGCAGACTCTGATATTGCCCGTACAGGCTCTAGACTCAGACTGGATGGACTGGTACCGGCCTGGGCCTAGCCTACCGCTACTGGACCTCTAAAAATGCCAACTTTGTCTTCTTCGGCTTGGCCTCGAGTACCCGGCACATCTACTGCTACTGGGTGCGGTAACAGTCTACCTGCTACTTGAGTGTTTTTCCGCTGCTCTAAGTGCCGCGGGCCTCCGGCTTCGCTACTTGAGTGTTTTCCCTGCTGCAACCCTCAATATCACGGCCACAGGTAAGTACCGCCCCTACGGGCCTGCCAAACAAGCAAGTACCCTTGCGGGTCACACACACACTCATGCCGACAAGCACTCAGACAGGCACGCAGGTCAACAAGCACGCACACATACAGACTTAGAAACGCCGCAGCAGAATGCGGGAATCTCAGCAAGGCATCCATTCCATCGGCAGGACTTCAGAAATCAGCAGTGTTCTCAGTCTGTGTTATGGCAGGTCATTACATCCGTCTCCGACTCTAGCACCGTGCAACACCCGTGTTCATACACAATGTTTATAGAGACTTCATCAAGGGGATTCCATCAACCCAGAAGCATATCTCAGATTTCCACAGGAATAACGTCACACAGAAAGTACCCAAGGACAAAGGGGTTAAGGACAGTTTTTTTTTGTCAGACTTTTCTTGAACCTTGGACAGCCTGCAGAATTGTCTTAACGATTTTTTTTCAGCTATGATCTGCTTTGTATCCGGTTGCCAGTGGGCAGCACAGGTGGATCTAGGTAACAGACAGGTAGGGCAGGCAGCGAGGGGAGCGGCAAGGGGATGAAGCCAGCAGCAGTAGGGCGTGTGGGAAGGGAAACGTTGAGGAAGGCAGGAGGGCTTCATGGCAAGCAGTGGCAAAGCAGATGCGCAGGAGGGCGGGCAGCAAGGCGAGCAGCACGGGAAACGAGGCGATACCATGACGTCAGCACCGAGGCAGCAACCCACACGTTCAGCAAGGATCAGAGCAGATTGTCATCTTCTCACACCATATGGAAAACTCAAGCAGACTGTAGGTTCACACCACCGTCGAGGTGCAGAGGAGCGCAAGATAAATATATGCCGGTTTCAACACTGGGAAAGACGGGGGGCATCACGAACATGCCTGGGCCCCTGACGGTGCACTGAGACTTGGGGGCAAACTATTTGGGACACCTTTGAGATGCTCAACACGCAGAACAGAGTGCATGTTATTTGTATTAGTTTGAGAATAACCTCGGAGATCGAGCTTGGGGCGATAAAGTGATGTTCTTGTCTACATTTATCAGTCTTCCATGGGTTTTGCTCTTTTTTTTTTTTAGGGGAGTATGCTAATATAATATTAATGAGGAGTTTATGTACTCTTTTATTTTTGGGTGGTTGGTTGAAAGAAACACAGCAGGCAGAGTAGGAACACTATGATGAATACGAAGGCAACAGACGAACGCAAAGGAAGCAGAACTGACAAACTGCATTTGGGCACATTTGTCCATGGCAGGTAACATGACTTTTTTTTTTTTTTTTTTTTTTTTTTTTTTTGGAATAAACTCCCTTCCAGTGCTAGTGGTGAGGATGCCTGAATTTACATGAATTTGGTGGACACCCACTCATATGTGAAATGAGGAAATTTGATCATTCATAAATGAAAACAAGAGGATCAAGCACGGTACAGATAGATAATTCATGATGATTATTATTGCTACAACCATTCCTAACATTCATTGGTGTTTTTCAATTGATTGATACAATCATCCCCTCCTGTTTGTTTTTTGTTTGTTTGTTTGTTTGTTTGTTTGTTTGTTTGTTATTATCTGTATCTATACACCATATAAAAGCTCAGCTGGGTCTTGCGGGATGCCTGCTGCGGGCCCAGCAAAAAGGTGTGGCTCTCGACAGGTCGGGGTAGGCGGTCCCAGGGTAACCCTATCTTGACATTTTTTTCAATTTTGCTGTTGGTTTGTGATGGTGTCCATTGTCCATTTTGTCCTTAGTGAGCACGTTTCGATGGCCTCATGCTGCTCCCTTTCCACTTCTCTTCATAGTGCCCATGTCCTTAGTGGGCATGTTTCGATGGGCTCATGCTGCTCCCTTTCCACTTCTCTTCATAGTGCCCGAACTTATCACAGGTTGGAAGTGTCTAAATGCACGTGGAGCATGGGGTAGTGGATCTAGGCCTGGTGTGAAATGCTCCCCCCGCGTTGTCTCCCGACCCCCCACCCCTCCCGGGTCGGGTTGTTGTGGATCGAGGCCCGGTGTGAGCATGCCCTCTGCAACTTGCAATGGACAGACGTCCCCCAAATGGTTGTGTACAAGTAGACAGTGGGGGATGAGGGGACGGCAACGATCGATGGACAATGAGAGAGCATGGAGGGAGTAGGAGGCAGAATGATCGGGGAAGGAACGGATGACAAAGAAGAACCGAGGATGGAGGGAGGACGATGATGATGATGGAAGAGGCATAAGGGAGGAGGTCGACGGCGATGGAAGGAAGATGATGGAGCGACAATGATTGGTAGATGACGAGGAGAGCAGAGCATGCAGGGAGTAGGACGAGGAAGGATAGGGAAAGGAGGAGGAGGGGGGGATGGAGGGTGGATGACAAAGGAGGAGGGATGATGATGATCGATGGAGGTGGTGGCTGGAGGATGGAGGTGGGCAAATAAGGGAGGGAGGTTGACGACGATAGAGGGAAGAGGAGGGTACGACAATGGTTGATGGATGACAAGAGAGCATGGAGGGAGTAGGAGGAGGAAGGATCAGGAAAGGAGGAGGGAGGAAAGGTGGACAGCAAAGGAGGAGCGAGGATGGAGGGAGGACAGTGATGAGGAGGAGGGGGGACAGAGGTTGGAGACAAAGGAGAAGCGAGGATGGAGGGAGCAGGATGGTGATGATGGATAGGGATGATGAGCTCGCAGGGAGGAGGATGGTGATGTGGAGGCAGGGCTTCTCTCGGTCATTCCTGATCTTGATCTTGAATCATCCACAACGATCCATCTTTCCAGTCGATACCGATATGACTTCAGAATTGAGGAATGACTACAGCTTCCCACCAACAACCCTACCTTGGTTGGCTCATGCATCAACGGCTGAAATTCCGCAGTGAGCTGCAATACTAATTGCCCTACATGTATGGAAAGAAATCATCCCGCCTCTCCTACAGCATGTTGGTCCAACGAGTATGTCTCAGTGCAGTCACCCTTTGATCTGATGAAAAATTTCTCTGTATAAAGACGCGTGTCGATCAAATGAAGTCATTCTGAATTACTTACAGCAGACCGAAGAGTGTTGACGTCCCGAACAGACATGCAATTGTACAAAAAGGAAAAATGCAGAGCCCCGATTAATTGGGCATAGGCGAGTCTGGCACTTTGGGGCCCTCGGTGCGAAAAGCCGCAAGGTACGAGACTTGGCTTATCACATGTGTGTGTGTGTGTGTGCGCACGATTGCACGGGTGTGGCCGCGCACACACACGCACACGAATCCATTTAATTGAGTTAATCCATTTGATTGAATCGATTTGATTCGATCGATTAGATCGATTCGATCGTTCGCGTGTTTGTTGTCATATTCGTTATACAGTCAAGAAGAACGTGATAGTGCCAGACTTTGTCATTGGACTTTCACCCGCTTATCAGGCGGTTGAACCCCGACAATCTGCCCAAGATGCGTTTGACTGACGGATAAGGACTTGCCACAGTGCCCGGAGTTGGATACCCTTGGTGGTTGACTTCACTCACACTGACCCTGCATGTGTGTACGTGTGTGTGTGTGTGT